TGTATATCTATATATATATTTAAATAGTATAAAAATAATGTATATACACTGTAGTGATATAGAATGTGTATTTTAAAATCTTTAAATAATGTATATAAAAAATGTATATATAACGTAAATATAAAATGATTTATATATAATGTACAAATAAAATGTATATATAATGTATATTTAATGTAACTATATTTTGTATATATATAATGTTTAAAAATATATACATTATATATATACTATATATATAGAACATATTAAATGTATATAATATATAATATATATATTTTAGATTATATGTAATATATATATATATGATTTATATATATAATATTTTTAATGTAGTTATAATGTATATATTTAATGTACTCACAAAATGGAATAAAAATTGTAGATATATATATAATGTCTTTTGTATATATAATGTATAGATATATAATGTATAGATATATATATATAATGTATATATAACGTAAATATAAAATGTATATATACTTTTCATAATGTATATATAATGTGTTTCTAATGTATATATAATGTATTTATAGATATGTTAATGTGTATACATCCCTGTGCTGGTTGATCAAAATGGTACACCAGTTCAAGCCAGAGCCCGTGCCAAGGGAGCCGAGTATTTTACACTCGACGAATCTGCCGGCCGCGCAGGGTTCCCAGAACCAGGTGGTCCCTCAATCGACCTGTCACTGTCCACACCACAAATCCTGTATTCAGCCAGGCTAGCTATATTCCCTGCAATAATGGTATCCATCATGATCGACCATTGATAGGATGCAACGTTTTACTAATTCTGTATGATACTGCATATTTTACTGTCTTTTTATCTTGCCACTTTTTCCATGTCCCCATGTTCCCTCAACAACATACAGTGGACAAGTGGACTTCGTAAACACGGAGTCACGGAGAACTATTTTAAAGGTATTGCTGTGCTTCATTTTCTTCATATTCATCTTCATTAGGAGCATTGTCATCATGAAATCCCAATTTATCCTCTTCAATCCTGCTGGATCCCACTGAATCTTGGTTCAGTTAGGGCCTGGACGGCCTGAGCTGGAAGGCAGGGAGCCGCCGGGCAGAAATGGAGGGTGAATCTGGTGC